TCATAATCTAATAAAGATTTAAACTTTAAAAGTGTTTAATATATCTAATACGTTTTTACTTCAAAAACTAGTTAGATGTTTTATAAAGTTTAGAAACCTATTAGACATATAATCGAGAGTTCAAAGATTTGTTTGACATTTTTTTTTAAAGTTAGGACAACTTAAAAAATTGATGGAGTAAACTTGTAATTTAACTTGATTCAACTTCAAGATGGATAATAGTATCCAATAGAATCTACATTAAATTACAAATGTGTAGTGTCTCTATACTTGTCGTATTGTCTATTTAGTCTCTAAACTTAATATCATTAACTTAAATTTTTACTTGACCATTAATTTTTTTAGGACGTGATTAAATAAACACAACACAACTCATTAGAAAAGTTGAATTTATTATTATTATTTTTTAAATAAGAAAAGCTGAACTAATCAAGAAATTTCCCTAAACTAAAAATAAAATAAAATGAAAAAAACAATAAACACAACATATGAACTAAAATTTATAATTAAACCAAAATTGTACGAAACGTGGGCTGCTTCCTTTCAACCGTTTTGATGGTGAATCTAAAATTTATAAGCATAATTGCATCAACGAATAATAAATTATTGTCTCTATTTGATTACGAAAATATTGATTAATTGTCACTTCCATCTTCTGCTCAGTTGCATTATTATTTATCTTATTATAGGTTTGGAATTACTAGCTAGGTCTCTGCAGATGTTACTTTCATACCCATCAATTTTCTTCTATCTTAAAACTCCATAGCATAGCAGCAGTCTGAATCAAAATCATGAAATAAAAAAAATAAAAAAAATCAAATTTGTGGGGGAAATTTTCACCTCTTGATCGGTTCGAATCTTTTTGGTAGGACAAGAATGTCAAGTTCAGAGATAATTATTTCTTTTCTAAAAATGTTTTTGTTATGGCTGAAGCTTGACTTTTTGAGAATTTCTATGTCGTCAAAATTGTTAATTAATTGCATTAATTTAATTGGAATTGATGGAGAGGGACAGAACATTAATTTCTAATTTTCTGATAATTAATTTATATTGGTTTGTTAGAGTGTTATTTACTTTTAAGTGGACTGTATTAGAAGTTTCGAATTTAATTCATGCAACTGTATAATGAAATTAAATCTTTTGGTCTATTATTGCAATAGAAAAGTTAAAAATTGATAAATAGCATTGGTCAAGTTTCATATAACTATTTAAATTTGCATAACTCTTATTTATATATTAATATTGGGCTTTTCTTGTAATTAAAAAAAATATATTGGGTTTTTCTACAAGGTTTAAAGTTATTTGAGAAACTCGGGATTGTGGATCTTCACTATGGTAGGATTTTGATATTTAGTATCCTAACTCTAGGGAGGGATGAAATGTTAATCTTATTGATTTTGAATTTTTGGTTTTTTTTTTTAAAGCGCATGTGGAACAACTATATCCAATTTTAGTAATTTGATCTATTATTCCAAATAATTCAAAAATGTTTTGGATTGAAATTGTTGCCACAAATTTATCACACGGTATCAAAAGTATCGTTTTCAAAATGAACGAGGTAATTTTAGAAATTATGGTAAAAAGTTAACATAACATCACACAACTATGAAAAGTTGTAAAATAGTTCATCAAAGAAGTCTCAATATCAACCTAACTTAATTGATTTATTGACTTCATTTATCTATTTAATGGACAAGTGTTAAAATTTTCTTTTAAATATTAGTATTATTTTTTAGTTTTCTATATATTCATTTAAAAATCTGAATTAAATTGCCAAAGCATAGCTCAGTGGTAATTGACATATACCTCCAACCAAGTGTTGTGAATTTGAATCCCCTCTCCAACATGCTGTATTCAAAAAAAAAAAAATCTGAATTAAATTTATTTTATGTGTGGAACTTTTTTTTCCCTCCAAGGCCCTATCAATAGGTTCAATATTTATTGTCATGACAAGTACAAACATCTAGATTAGTTTGTGTGCATCTCGACCAATTCATAGGAAAATAATTTAAATTTTACTGTATTTAATTGATAAGAAAATCAAGTATTTATTGAAAAAGAAAAAGATATGAAAAGTTATAAAATTTAGAGATAAATGAAAAAGAACAGGAGACAGGAATATTAAAAAAAAAAAAGGAAAGAAAATGACATATTAATCCCTGAGGATGAGGTTTTTTCGAAAAAGAAAAAAGAATAGAAATAGAAAGAAAAGTAGTGGGGAGTGGGGAGTGGACAGGGCGGCGTCGGTCGGTCGGCGAGCTGCCGGCGAAATTGGGAGGGAGAAAAAAAGGCAGTGGAAAATGTCCGCACGTGCGAAGACTATTCGACTTTTAAAAGGTTTAAATGTGGCTGAGGAGGAGATACGATATGTCCGTGGAGGGGACCCCTTTTGGACGCCGCATATTTCGACGACGTCCCTACGCTGCCCGCCACCATCCGACCACCGCCACCGCCACCGCCCCACCATCCACCGCCGCTTCAACACCAAAAGCTAAAATTCACCATCATCTCTCATTTTCAACCTTAAATTTAGATACGCAAAAAAGCCATCTTTGGAGCCATTTTGTAGTTCTTAAGGGAAAGACAATGGAATTGTTCCGTCAATTTTCCTTCTTTTCAATGCATTTCGCTTCAAGGGTTGGAGGGAAATAGTATATTAAGCTATCTGTAAGGTAGATGTTTCAAATAATAGAAATTTAAGAGAACTGCGAACTCCAACTGCCGACTCCTCTCATGTAAGAATTATTTAAAAATATTGTAATTATTTCCACATTAATAGACAGTAATTAAAGTTAGTATTTTGTTTGAAATTTCAAAATTATGACAAGAGTTATTTAATGGTTGATTTTATATATTGACCTGACTTAATTTTTTATCAAGTTGGAATATGTCAATTAGTTGAACTATGACAATCATTAGTGAGTCTTAAAGATTAATTTTTTTCTTATTAAATGAGTGAGTGTATTAGGAAAGATTGGACTAGGGTAAAATTATAACACTTGCCTAAGGGTTAAAGAATGAAAATTTATGATTAAATTAGACTTCTCTTGCCAAAATTGAGAGGTAAAATTGATCTAAAAAAAGAAGAAGAAAAAAAAAAGTTACCGGCGGTCAATTAGGACACGACAGGAACGTTCATGGAAAGCGAGTTCCAGCGTGGTAGATGGAACATGGAATTTGACTTTCTATGCGTCGGCATATAACAAACTCTTTCACTTTCCTTTTTCCATATTTCTTTTTATTCTATGCTTCCCCAAACCATCTCTATTTTACTAACCAAAAATATTCTTTTTATACCATACTACAAACAATATTTTTACAAAATATATATATATATATATATATATATAACCGACCTTTAAACTATATAAATTATCTTCTATGATCTCATCAAGTATCGTATAAATTAATCCTCAACTAATTTTAACATTTACCAATAAAAAGAATATAATTAAAAATATTCAATTAGGGATTAAATTTTTTTAAATAATTAAGGATTTTCAATTGAAAAAATATCCAAGAGACTAACACTGTGATGAACTCGTTAATTTTTACTCAAATTGACAATCATTATGAATTTGTAGGTTGAATTTTTTTTATCTTCTTGTAATTAATGTTTTTTTTTATCTTATTAAGTATTTATCACATTTTCCTTCCGTATGATTGGATAACTGATATGTAGCCGATCGACTATTTTTTTTTTATAATAACTTTTAATTATTGTTGATGAATGACTTTTCTAAGGAAAAAAGTGGAGCTTTGGAAACGCATGATTTTGAGATAAATAAAGAAGGTGACTAAACTTGACTATCGACAAGAAAAGTTCATCCAAAAAACAAGAAGATTCGTAGGGAATATTGGAAATAAATAAGTATAGGCCCGCTTGATATTTTATTTATTGACAATTGATTTTTTTCCTTATAATTTAATTTTTAAAATTCTAAACAAAAATTTTAGAAAATATGGCCCCTCGGATATTTTCTTTCCTTTAAATAAGTCCGTGCGCTCTTAGTTTCTTTGCTTTTTAATTTACTTTGTTGAAATTATACTAAAAAAAAATTATTTTTTGGGGGAACCCTAGTTTTTACCAGCTCTTTTATTTATTTTTCTTTAATTATTTTAAAAGGTTGGTTTATAAGAGATTACATTGTGTCCACTTGGAGCTAATGGGCTTATGAATTATTTTAATGCATTGTCACAATTCATATATATTCCACAGCCTTGGCCTTTACTTTAACATGGCATGTGTTCAATGTGTGTGAAGGAGAAAATATAAAATCAAATTTTCTTTATCAAACTTTTTGGAGAATTATTGAGCCCTTTTTCACAACAACATCATGAACTCCTTTTGGAAAGAAAAATCAATTTGTACTTTTGATTGTCATGATCTCACTAGAAAATATTTCTAACATAAATTATTGTTGTTATTATTATTTATTTTGAGTTGAGTTTTTCTGTGTTATTCAACCTTGTTGAAAAAGAACGGGTGTCTTTTTAGTACTTATAATTATTAGGAATCAAGCAAATTTAAACCTAGCTCAGTTGGTTGTTTTTTTTTCATCGATTTTTTCTCCCATCTAGAAAGTTCTATGCGAAGTTAAAATTTATAATTTACTTATATAAATGTCATAAATTATTTGTTTATGTGTCCATACAAATAACGTATCTTTTAAAAATTAGTTTAAACTTAATATTGACTCTTTAAAAATTATGAATGAATTTTTTGTCTACTAAAAAGGCTACTCATTATAATGGATAATTGATTTACCCAATTTAAATTTATTA